TCTCTTCGTGAGGTATCGCTATTCTGTATTAAGACTAAATGGACTGGATAGCTCAGCGCGATCAGAATCCCCGTAGAGAGATTGATTGATTGAACACTGAACGGCATTAAAGGGAGAGAGGAAAAAAGCGAGAGTTCTTTTCTCTGGTATAAAATCTTAATTCAACGCCGTTATCTGCAGGAAAGGCGGCTGGGCCTGGCTAAAAAACTTTTCTGGATGATGAATATACCGTAGAATGTGTTAAAGAAGGAATTCTCATTACTCTTGGTGATTTAAAATCTATTCCTTCCCCGAACCGGTAGTATTTCATCGCGGCTAAGGGTACATGAGGTGCATTAGACCTTGATATAACAAAAAAAAAAGTCTGGAAACTCAAGGATTTTTTCCTAGGTCAGCACGTATAACCCGTCCAGAACCGTTGAGAATAATTGACAAAATTATAGTCTATAAACCCAAGTTAAATTGACCAGGGTCTATTTCCACTCGGCTGCGACTCGAAAATGAGAAATGCAAAACTCAAAACCAGATTTATGCATCTTTTGCGATCAGTTTTGGATTCCTGGTATAACGTGATGATTAAGAGAAAAGATTAAAAGAAAGCGTTAAATTTTCCAGGAAATGATTTGTGTTTTAAAGTTCCAACGTTCATAGTGTGCCTGTAAGTAATCTACAGCAGCCCTGCTGTCGCCTTGGCAATAAGTAGAACTACAGCTGGCGCCATCTTTGTTACATGGTATACCTTATGGTCTACCCCTACCTCTCTGGGGCTTATCTTTCAGTAAAAGTAGATCACAAAAATTGATCTTTCTGTCAGATAAACCACACAAAGAGAACATTTTGTAGGATCGCTTGACAATCGTGAATGAGAAGGTAAACATTTGAAGACATAGGGGCAATTAATGTTTTGTAGCGAAGTGAAACGAGCTTTATGGTTTCTTTGCAATATATAGCCTACCAAGCGGGAATTCCATTTGTATGGAGTATCTTTCAATTCATTAAAACAAAAAATATTTGAATTAATTTTGTTCTAGCAAAAAGACAGCCAAAGATAAGATCTCATCACGAATGGTTTTTAATTCGGAAACATGATAATGATTCTAGTCACGGCGAATTTAAAAAAATGATCTGAAACAAGTGCTTGGGAGAAACGAATAAGAGGCTTTTATTGGGATTTTATAGAAAAAGTTTAGAAATCGCGACAGAAAGTCGCTTCATGTGTTCGATTAGTCGCCACCTTAGCATCTAAGATACTTTGGCAATTTTACATAAAATCGTTTTATCTTATTTTCGTAAAACGGCGTGTGACTCAAAACTGACGATTTCACGAGAAAAACTGGCGATTTATACGTGTCCAAACCTTTTAACAAGCGATCCCTTGCCCTGATAATTTTAGCCTCCTTACCCTTAACATGACTTCAAGATGGGCAGTCCTATGGATATCATATATAAAATATAGGGAAAGATACATGTATCACCCTTATATCATCTCTCACGACCATAGATCAGATATAGGGCAAATATAAGAGAAAGGATAATGGGTGATTTGTCATTCACAGCGTATTACTCTCAGGAATACGTATAAGTAATGGCAAGCCAAGGCCATACGTTATGGAACCAGTGCTACGCAGCAAAATGAATCAAAAGAACCACAATGATTCGTTAAAATACGAGAAATGTCAAAACTAATGAGCAGAAGCATTACCATTCGACACGCAACATCGGTTTATGGTGAAAAAGTCAGGAGAGCACGCGAAACACGTCTGCGGCTTTATATTCTTGGCATTTTTTCTCTCTTTTTTTTTTTTTTTTGTCGTACATTTTGTCAAAATTTGTTTCTCACGGCGCTCCAAACACCTCTTTGTTTATGTAATTCACCCTAATCCCCAACCCCTTTTACACGACATAGTCCAATCCAACAGGTGTATATTTTAATTACAATACGTTTCCGTTTGTCTCTTTTTACTGCTTGCGCCAAATGCATTGGCAACAACTGAAAATTCATTAAATGAAAAGTACTGTCATCCAAATCACGGTTTGAAGAAGACTGTCGTCTTGTAAACACACTACAGAATAAACGGAACTAATTCAAGCATCAGTAGGAACATAAACACTAGTGGGTAGACAAGGACAAATATGGTTTGAAAAGATGTTTGAAGTAGTGTCATTAGAAAGTGCTGCAGTGCAGCAGTCCCAAACTAATCTTGTGTAAAAGATTTTTCTTTGGATTTAGATGAAACGGTAAATTTTATAACTCAAATCTTTGTGTAACTTGTACGAATGGTCTAAGTTATTGCGGAGTTTAGTGTGCTTATTAAGGTTCAAACATTGAAAATACAATTAAGTTGTGGCAAATCATGAGTTGGGGGCACCCTATTCGCTTTGTAGACACATTTTATTCAAAGGTCCCTGAAAATGCATCCCCAGTATTCAAAAGTCTCGTCAGTTTTAAAATGTTCATAAACTCACTCTAGGCTGTGTAAGAAGTATGGTTGTTATTTCTAGGCATGTACCATGCCTCCAAGGTACCAGCGGGCCATTCTTTGGCACCTCCATAGAACACCCGGTTCTCGAGTGTGCTTGAGGGGGGGAGATTTTGGCTATGCATACGAAAGAAGGCTCTCAAAAACTTTCCGGCTATTTTAACAGCTGTTCAAACTAAATGCTCGTACACGCACACTGGGGTGGGTTGGTTGGTGTGGGTGTGGAGCAGATTAATTTAATATTCACCCACCCCAAAGCCTTCGTTAGAACCTTAGATCTGCCAGTTTTAAAGACATTGAAAAGTATAATAAAATCAGAGTTATTATTCTCAATTTATTCCTAGCTAGAAACACTGTATTGGAGTACAGAAACGTTAAGCTGTTGATTGGGACAATGACATTCACACTGTAGAGGGTCTTTGTCATATGCAAGGCTGACACTTGCACGACTTTTGGTCCCGATTTTGTCGTGGCAAGTCGTGCCATTTTGGGGCACGAAGTGGGAGGCTCCCGCACTGTTACCCTACTAGTTACACCTACTAGTTCACGCATAGTTTACGACGAGTTCACGACGAGCAAACGAATAGTTTACGAATGTGTGTCCACATTGACACGAACTGGCACAAGTTCATGCATAGTTTGCGCATAGTTTACGCACTTCCCGCATTGGCACGACGAGTTTGCGCAATTCGGACGGTGTCGTGCCGACTTGGGCACGCAGTATACGTCAGCTATTCGTGAATTATTCGTGGCAGTTGGTAACAGTCGTGGCATAGCGCGAACTGCCACGCACTGTCACGCATCCTCCCGCATCGTCACGACGAGTTCACTACGAGTTCACGAACTGTTTGTGCATAGTTCACGACCCGGTCGTTAAATTTTGTCGTGACCAAAAATTTGAACATTTCAAAATTCTCGTCCCGACATGGCACGCAGTCACGACGGGTTTACGCACACTTCACGCCAGTTTACGACTAGTTCGCGCACTGGCACGACTCGAATCGTGCCTATGCGTGCCACAGAATCGTGCAAGTGTCAGCCTTGCATTAGACTTAGGTCCTCCTGTCCAACCCAGCTGGTGAAATTCTTAACTTTTTCTTTTATAACAAGCGCTAAACACCTCGTCTTCTCTCATTTCAGGTTGTGAAGATGCTGGTAGTGGTAGTGGCCCTGTTTGCTGCGCTGTGGCTGCCGTACCGACTCCTGGTGCTGTACAACTCATTTGTANACGACTAGTTCGCGCACTGGCACGACTCGAATCGTGCCTATGCGTGCCACAGAATCGTGCAAGTGTCAGCCTTGCATTAGACTTAGGTCCTCCTGTCCAACCCAGCTGGTGAAATTCTTAACTTTTTCTTTTATAACAAGCGCTAAACACCTCGTCTTCTCTCATTTCAGGTTGTGAAGATGCTGGTAGTGGTAGTGGCCCTGTTTGCTGCGCTGTGGCTGCCGTACCGACTCCTGGTGCTGTACAACTCATTTGTAGACAAGCATTTCCTGAACCTTTATTACATCTTGTTCTGCCGGAACATGATATTCCTCAATAGCACCATCAACCCTATCCTCTACAATGCCATGTCCATCAAGTTCAGGACAGCGTTTCGAAGGGTAATTAATTGCGGTAAGCGATCCTATCGACCTCCTTACGGGCCCCAGTGTTCCAACAGCAGCGAGCACCAAACTTTGACGTCAACAGCAGTCGTGACGTCAGCCGGCGTTGTAACTGTGTTACGTCAGCAGCGCTTACACTCTATGGATCTTAACAGCGTTGATTGCACCCCGCTACGCCATAGTAACTTCTCCTCGCAAAACGCCGGGCGCGTAATGGTTTAGAACTGCGCAGCGGCGTGCTTATTCCAAGATTGAGCCTGCACAATAAGAGAGCTGTGTAGTATTGTCTGCGACACAGTGGCGAACAGGTTAAAAGCACACTGGCGATGAAAAGTTTGCAAAGGGACTTTTTAATGGGACTGGTGGGAACAGCAGGGGGTCGATGGAGAGCCATCAAAACTGTGTGTTAAACAATAGGAGCCCATGCATGACGTCACATTAACACAAAACGTTAGAAACTGGTCTAGCATTTTGCTTGCTTTGTGTGCGGCTATTGGTGTCATTGATTTATTTTGTCTGAGTTTTCTGAGATTCTGTCATGCTGAATGGATCCATGTCAGGATATAAACGATTGTGATTTGTAGTTAAGATAAAAAAATGAAACTTTGGCAGTTCAGTTTCTGAGACAAATGCGTATCAAATAGAAAAGCTTTTAGTGTATTATGAGCAAGCACAAAGCGCTGCTAATGGAAGTTCTGGGACCTGTTGGAAAGAAATTTACCATGTTAGCATGATCACCCTATTATTATTATTATTATTATTATTATTATTCGTAAGAGTATCATTATTCTAGGTATTGTTACTTTTATTATTTCAGTTATTTTTGTTAATGTCATTCTCAACATTAAAAGACAATTCCATGGGATTTACTCTACAAAATAGATTTTCCTGGGAAAATGACCAATTTTTTTGTATTCACTAATCATTTATCTATTCCTCTCTGCACCTGGATTCATTAAAGGTTCTTCATAAGCTCCGATGAAAGTATCAACAGCAGGTACGCTCCAGAAAAATGTATTAAAAGGGCTGAACCGTTTTAAAGGTTATGTAAGGTTTTTTAAGAAGCTGTGGATGGCAAAAATAAGCTGTTGGGGAATTTTTAAACTCATGGAGTGTACCTTTGAGGAAGGAAAAGGAGAGAAAGAGAGAGAGAGAGAGAGAGAGAGGGAGAGATGGGAGTTAGGAGGGGGAAAGAAAATATACAGTTCAATATTGTGCTTCACGCCCTGCTGCACTGTGCTGTTTAAAACACGTCTGCACATTCTAACAAATTGTAGAGGTCATTATCTTTTCATTTATTGAAAATAAATGTTCTTCTTTCATGAGAAGATCTTACATAATCGTTGAAAATATGCCATTATACAGGAAATGAAGTTATGTTCGATGATTGAACGGCACTTCCTATTAGTTCACATCAGATTACCTACCTTGCATGAAATGTCAGTTTGTTGCGCAAGTTGTATATTGTATGTTTGATTAATAGGTTTTTCTCATTCTTGCGGTAAATAATGTGTTTGTCATATAATATGTTAACATAGCAGAGTCCCAGTAACATAAGTGCGTTTCAATTAATCAACATGGATGACATAAAGTACTTACATGTATCACATTACTTAATAGGCATCACATTATGCAACACCTTTCTACCTAAGGATCGAATGATCAAATACAGGCCTACCCAACTACTAGACTCGGCAACTTCGGATCCAGAATAAACCGGTATATCAGACCACACTACCCGTTTTCAATGTGTGTGTCAGATCGCATTACAGAGTATCATACCTCATCACAAATTTTGTAAGCCAACCTGTCATCCGGGTATCGCGCCTCGTTTTCGTCAAGTAGGAGTCGTATGAATACAACAACATGGATATCGGCAATCCACGGCTCATTCCGCAAGCTCCATACTATTGTCGAGTGCGGAGACATCGGAGTTGTTCCGAGTGACAACATGGCGACAGACGACTCACTGAATCTCGTCCAGAAAATATTTAACCCCCGACAGAATATGCTTCCGCTATCAAAATTAGGTCTACTTTTCTAAATGAATATATAAGTTTGCAAGTTCTTATTTACAAAACATCATTGGCTATGTTCGAACCAAAATATTATGTTAAAAATTGCGGTATTGTCAGATTTTTAACATAAACTGGGAAAATTGTAGCAGCGCATGAATCTAAATGAGATGCACTACTTTCCAACCCCGCTTTTGACCACGGTGGAAGTGAAGAACAAAAGATTCAGACGTGGTGTAACTCGCATAACCGCACGTCTCGCATGAATGCGTTATAACCCGCTAATGGACCCGTGGTCTAAATAAGATAGATCCCTCGTCAGCGAGGGTTATGTGACATCCACTCGTGCTTCGCACTCGTGTATGCCACATAATCCTCGCTGACTCTATCTATCTATCCGGGGTCTATCTATTACTACGATCATTGCTATCACATCGCGCACAAGGCAAAATTGGTTTGGTGGCTGATACTCTGTAATACGATCTGACACACACCTTGAAAACGGGTAGTTTGGTCTGATATACCGGTTTATTCTGGATTCTTAGGTGCCGAGTCTGGTAGTTGGTTAGGCCTGCTCACGATCTTGACTAATAAGTACCCTCTACCAGGGTCTCAGTTATTATTGTGGACCTTTTTTGCTGAATCGACATCAGACCAAAATGACTGTCTATTTATCTAGAGACCTATCTGTGACTATCTGTGAAAAATCAATCTGTCGCCCTGGTAGAGGGTAACTAATTAGTATTAAACCCATGATCTAGTCAACAGTGCTAGTGAACACGTTACTTGCAGTTGGGTGTTCATTGTGCGCACATTTTGAGACGGTGTGATCATCTGGAAAAAAAACACTCTCAAATACATCAAATACACAAGGCTCGCCTTCTCAGCTAGTTTAAACTGGTTTTAATCTTTAAAAAATAACATTTAGGTGGAACAGTTACCCGATGCTGCCGCCGCGTAGCATTAGTACTCAGTCTGCGAACTTCAATAGAATGAAACGCTTGCGACCCAGGTGTCTGTGAGAGAAACGTGATATCAAATCAAATCAATACATTAACGTTAATCAGCAAATGCTTTTTAATTTACTTCCCAAAAGGTTGCGTTTCCCACTTCCCCCAACTCTTGTGCAGGGGATATTTCGGCGAATGTGCAGTTTACTCTATCGCCGAATTATAATAATGAAAATGTATATGTACATGTGTTTAAAAAAAAAAGATACACAGATCATATCATATCATATCGTACTCAATCTAATATGCAAGTTATAAAGGTGCAATAATATGCAACTTATTATTTTTAATGAACACAGGATATGGTAGTGGATCTGGAAATATATTGCTGAAAAGCACAAAAATTATATATATATATATATATATATATATATATATATAGAGAGAGAGAGAGAGAGAGAGAGAGAGAGAGAGAGAGAGAGAGAGAGAGTTGATTGGGTTATAAAAAACAACCTTCACATTAGTAGGACATTAAAA